GAAATGGTCGGAGGTAAACAGGATGAAGTTTAATAAGGACAAATGCAAAGTGCTCCACTTAGGAAGGAACAATCAGTTTCACACATACAGAATGGGAAGTGATTGTCTAGGAAGGAGTACGGCAGAAAGGGATCTAGGGGTTATAGTGGACCATAAGCTAAATATGAGTCAGCAGTGTGACGCTGTTGCAAAAAAAGCCAACATGATTCTGGGATGCATTAACAGGTGTGTTGTGAGCAAGACACGTGAAGTCATTCTTCCGCTCTACTCTGCGCTAGTTAGGCCTCAGTTGGAGTATTGTCTCCTGTTCTGGGTGGCACATTTCAAGAAAGATGTGAAGAAATTGAAGAAGATCCAGAGAAGAGCAACAAGAATGATTAAAGGTCTAGAGAACATGAGCTATGTACTGAGCTTGTTTAGTTTAGAAAAGAGAAGATTGAGGGGGGACATGAGAGCGGTTTTCAGGTATCTAAAAGGTTGTCACAAGGAGGAGGGAGAAAACTTGTTCTTCCTGGCCTCTGAGGATAGAACAAGAAGCAATGGGCTTAAACCGCAGCAATGGAGGCCATTGGACATTAGGAAAAAGTTGGACATTAGGAAAACGTTCCTACCTGTCAGGGTGGTTAAACACCGGAATAAGTTGCCTAGGGAGGTTGTGGAATCTCCATCTCTGGAGATATTTAAGAGCAAATTGGATAGACACCTATCAGGGATGGTCTAGACAGTACTGGGTCCAGCCATGAGGGCAGGGGACTGGACTCAATGACCTCTCAAGGTCCCTTCCAGTCCTAGTATTCTATGAGTCTATGATCACCCAGCAGCAGATTTCTCCTCCTCCTAGAGTGTGCGACATTAATACAGCACAGCCGCAATGCTGCAGCTACACCACTGCAGCAAATCCCCAGTACCTAGGTTGCCTGCAGAATTCTTTCCTTGACTGAACCGTGATTCTGGTGTGGGGGGGAGGCAGGTAGGTCAAAATGTTTCACAGCTGTGACGCTGTAGCAAGGTTGCTCTAAAGTTAGGTGATTCCCAGCCTTTCTACACTGGCTTTGTCACCCTGACATTTCCCCTCCTTGCCAACACTGATGCAGCCGCACCTTTGGGGTGTGACTGAGGGCAAGGTGTGGGTGTATGTATGTGTCACCTGGACCTGTTCTGAACAGTTACATGATACAGGGCTTCAACCAGCTGCATGGGGTGCTAGGAAGGTGCAAGGAGACGGCAGTGTAGGGGAAAGACCTCTAGTGGCTACTGAAGCCAAACCAGGAATATCCCGGGCACAGGACAGTTCACAATCTCCTCTCAAAGTCTATTCCTGTACCTGGCTCCAGCCAGCAGACATGCCAAGGCTCCAGCCCCAGCTTTTCTTTCCTTTGTTTTCCAGAAATTGACTATCAAAGGTTTCAGTAACTCCGACTGTACTGGGCTCGCCTGGCGCACAGTGAGAGCCTCTTTGTAGCTAGGGGCACTTTCCTCCTTTACTCGTCTTTCAAAAGCGCGCTCGAGGGTCTCTTTAACCATCAATGCCCGGGGTGCGGCCGAGCCACGGCAGGGTTAGACAGGGGACGCTGAAGATTAGTAACTGACTCTTCCCATAGGCTTCCAGCCAGGCCCAGCCACCTCCATGGATGCAGGGTGGCTGTCTGTGATACTGACGCTATTGAACTGCCTTGATTGTGAGTACAGACAGGTGAGGGCGTTGGGCGTGGAACCGGCAGCCCTGCTGGGCACTGTGCAGGCTGGCTGCGGTCGATAACAGACCTGCAAGAGTCATGCAGCCTAAGGCCAGAAGGGGCCCCCAAATCATGGAGTCTGACCTCCCTGCACATCACAGGCATCCAGCCGCACCCAGCTTAAAGCCTGTACACCAACCCCTCAGGCGATCCACTCCGATTGAGAAGTCCCCCCTTCTCTCTCTTTCTGGTGTTTATTTGTACCTCTGGCCCCTTGCTCCACTCATCTGTGCCCACGACAGCTCCTGATGCCATCGACACGTTTTGTTAGTCTCAAAGGTGCCACCCGGCCATTTGCTGGGTTTTAAGATTTTTGCAGTGGCGGAGGGATTGTCAGCAGGGGGAGGCAGCTGCTGCTCCTCGCTCGGCCAAGAGGAGATGTGAGTGAGCCCTGGTAGAGCCTCACTCTTCTTCTGCCACTTCCACTGGTGTGCCAGCCTGTAGCAGTCGTTCCTACAGCGAGACCCTAAGGGCGTGTCCTGGTGCTATGTACTAGTGGGCAGGGATGGACAGAAGCACAATGGGAACAGCATGGCTACGTCTGCATTGCAATGCTATGATGGGATACTGACAGACCTAGCCCACGTCTTCACAGCAAGCCCGTTATATCGAAATACAATGGGCTTCCTAGTCTGACGTCCCGGTAAACCTCTTTGCATGCGGGTTAAGGGATGTTTCGGAATAGCGCTTTGTCAAAATGTCGAGGTAGGGTGCCGTGTAGACGCACTCTAAGAGGCCTTGTCACAGATTATCTCCTGGGCGACATCCACACTGCACCATAGTTTGAAATCAGAGATGGACTCTGAGCTATGCAAATTGTGTATCGTTTTTCGATCTTATTTTGAAATAGCTTGTTTCGTCGTTTGGTGCTGTCTCCACACTATTCCGAAACATCCCTTACTCCTTGTGGAATGAGGTTTGCAGGGATGTCGGAATAGCAAGCCTGAAGTAATGGGTTTGCTGTGAAGAGTGGGATAGGTCTGTTGGGATGCTCCGATATCCTGTAATAGCGTTGCAGTGTAGACATAGCCATGCTGTCCCCACTGTGCTTCTGTGCATGCCCTGCCCACATGAGCCCGGACATCTGCCCGGAAACCAGTGCCTGGCAGTCCCTGGGGGTCAGCGCCCTGCAACATGGGAAGCAAGAGCGTCTGTGGAATGGGAGCGCGCTGGCCTCCGCCTGCCAGGGGATGTGGGAAGGGTTAAAAACAGAAGCCTGTTGCCAAACCGCTGCAAGTTCAGGCCTGAATCCAGGCCACATTCCTCTGAACAGCAATTCTAGCCCAACCCGCAGAGTTCTTGGGCACTCAGGCACTGAGGGTTCTGCAGCGCTACCGTGGATGACAGCAACGGGCCCCGCGGCACCCAGGAGGTGTCGCTGCACGTACTCAGCTCGCCCAGTCGACCGTTCACTCCAGGCCCCAGGTGTGTCCAGTTTCCCCTGCTGATGCCCAGGCTGTGAACCAATGGCTTGGGCTACGAGAATGAACTCGCACACAGATGGGTAAAGCTGGGCCCCTTCCTGTGCCTGGCACAAACTTCCTCATGCGAGGGAGGGCAGGGCACTCCTCTCCAATTCCCTCCTTTGGCACAAACCCTGGGCGCGCTCTGAGGCCCTGCGCGGGGGCGGCTGAGGAGGGCCAGCTCCGTGCCTCAGACAACAGGGCTCCTTCAGACTGCACCTCACACAGCAGGCGGGGGCACAACCCGCCCGCCCTGACGCAGTGGTGAGTGGAACACGGCCAGCCCTTGGCACCAATACAGGGATCTGTGAGATTGCAAATAGCAATCAACTCCCACGGCGTCCAGCCGCCGGTCAACATGCTCCCCCCTTTAGAGCAGACAGCACAGGAGGGGTTTCCCCAGTGTCTGACCCTCAGCTGCGGTGCAGCGAAGAGAGCCCAGGAGGGCCCTTGCTCTAAGCCAGCGGTTCCCAACCTTGTCCAGATTCTGACAATTCAGGAAGACTTGGTGACCCAGGGCAATTCAAAACTGGAGGGAGCTGGGGGGGCGGGCCACCTGGGGAGACACTTGGCGACCCTTTTGAAATGTAATGGCGACCTGTATTTGGGTCCCGATCCGTCAGTTGGGAAACCCTGCAAAGCAGTAGAGATGCTCTCCATTGGAGCTAGGAAAGGGTTTCCCCTCGGCTGGCTGTTGTCTTTCCTGCGCTGTTTCCATTCCGCCTTCTACAAGGCCTTGCAGAAACGTCTCCCATGCTCTGCACTTCATTTGGGCTCCCCTCCTCTTCCGACGGCAAACAGGAGTCAAGCCCTTTTCATGTACCCTTTGCCTTCCAGCTCCCTCCTGCACAAAACATGCCCGTCCCATGTGCGCAGTCTCGGGGCTTGACTCACAGCTGTTGTGTGCGTGCATGAGGCCTCTAGGCAGCCACAAACCACTTCAGCAGTTTCTCAGGGTGTTTGCGAGCAAGGATGGAGGCAGGAAACAAACATCCCACCATGCAAACAAGAAACCAGCAAGCAAGGGGGCTGGTAGCCGTGAATGGAAAGGGAGAGAATGTTCTCAGAACAGCAGCGAGGGGAAGTCTGGTGACGAGCAATCAGAGAGGCTGGGCAGGACCGGCCATTCTCTGAACGGGAGACGTCCAGTGCTTTTAGGGAGGCAAAGGGCCGAGGCCCTTCAGACCAGCTATGCTGCTATTCTTTCAAGAGCTGGCTGGGCCCCTGCTGCTGGGATTCTCCCTTTGTTTCCAGATGTTTTGTTCCATAAAAAGATCAGTCGTTTCTAACAAGGATGCTGGGGGCTGGTGTGTGTGTGGGGGGAGATGTCCCTAGCATGGGAGACTCTGAGAGCTCCAGCTCTAGTTCTCGCTATCAACCACCCCCGGCTCCTGGCTCTTGCCTCCAGCAACGGCCTTTTGGGGAGTGAGCACATCTGGCAGGCGCTGGCCAGGGACGGTGGATGAACTCTGCTTCACGGCCCCTCGCGGGATGGCTCCACCCGGGCCTGTTTCGTAACGGGGACACGTTCACCTCTGTTCCCTTTGCTCCGCGGCAGGTCTTACTGGGCAGTGTCTCGCTGCTGCCATAGAGACAGTCCCCTGAGCATCGGCTTGCCCAGGGACACACTGTGCTACTCTGTGCGGTTGGAAAATACCCGGGGCCGGCTTTCTTGGAGGAGCAAATCTGCCTGGGAACACAGGGGCTGGTTCCCAGCAGGAGGGGCGGGATGCGGGGGGGAGGGATGTTGCCCTACCAACAGGAAAGGAAAATCCACCTGGTTTGGGCAGTGAGCTGTGCAGGCTCCACCTTTAGTCCCATGTGTGAGCGCTCACTGGGAGCCACTCCGGCAGCAGGAGGAGCAGCAGCATTGGGTGTGGACAGCCTGGCAGGAGGGGAGAGCCAGGAGGCCTTGCTGGCGGCGTGTGGGGCAGCGGGGCTCCTGGGAGCTCACTTCTCTTATCCCCCTGCTCGGACTCTGGAGCATGGACTTGCCTTCCCTGGTGCATGGGCCCCGCTGGATGGGGGCTGTGCTCTTCCTTGGAGTGCAGCTGCTAGGTAAGGGTCTCTTCGGGCGCTTTCCCTCGGGCGCCAGGCACCTCCTTGCACAGGTGACTCGGGGCAGCACTCCTAAGGTGCACCCCTGTGGCCCCGCCAGCATTTTAATTGCTAAATAGGGTGCTCCCACATGCCCCCCCTGCACCTCGGGTGGCCCTCCCTGCACCCTCCGCAGGCACCAGTCGCCCCTGCCTCCTTGGCTTTACCCTCCTGCTCTTCAAGTCCCCTTTCCCCTAAGGTCGGTGCCTGCAGAACTCTGCCATTTCTTCAAGCGGCTTTCTGGTGGGCTGTTTGCGGAGACTGTGCATCCGCACACAAGTCTTGGACAAACAGGTTTAGGTGTGTTCCAGCTGAGTGTGTGAGCATTCTGAGATCGGGTTACATGCTATTTCCTCGCTCCCACCTCTCAGTCCCTGCGCCAGCTGGGAGGGAGGACTTTAGTCTTTGAACTGCACTGTTTTCACCACTTTCTTTAAAAAGAGGTTATTAAAGAGACAGGCCGGGTTCAGAGTCATTTGCAGCAAAGTAATTCTGGAGAAACACCCAAATGTCAGTGGAATTTTACCAGGTTCACAGTTGAGTAAGGGATCAGAACTGGGTCCAAAGACCCAGTGTGGTTTTACCTTGTTTCTGTCACCTCACTTCCAGCACTGATTCAGGCGCACACACTGTGATCTGTTGTGAAAAAAATTTACTCTTCCAGGCCAAGTTAGTGCTAAGGGTTTGTTTGTTTGTTTGCTTGTTTGTTTTCCAAAGGGTGGTTTTCACTTTGACGTGAAAGCTGATCTTTGCCAAAAAGAAATTTTCAAATGTAAAAACATGGAAAAAGATTTGAGGTGTTCCCTCTTTTGAATGAGTTTCTAGATAAACATAGCTGTGAAACGTCATGGGTTTTTATGAAATCGAATGAGTAATATGCAAAGCGCACCGATTCCAGGGTGTTCATTGCATTCTGACTATTTCGGAGCCCTACCAGATACTCTTTATGAGTATTTGCAGTATTTATTGCTGTATTTGGCAGCAATGGGAAATAACACATACAAGGCTCAAAAGCCATGTTCTACACCCCCAGCTGAATGGTTGTGCTTTTCTACAGGAAAAAGCTAGCTGGACAATAGTCTGGGAAGAGGTGAATTAGGCCTAAAAGTGGGAGGCATCCCTGTTGTGAGTCAACAGCAGGTTGTGTTCAAGGCAAAGGCAGTTGCTGTGAAACTCACTGCATTGTACCGCATGGGCAGTGAGGGTGAGTAACACCTCCCCCCTCGAGCTATCACCCCGCTCTGGGCGTCACTTTCCCATGCTGCACACTTTGGAGGGTCAGGGGAAGAGTCTCTCCATCCCACCTCACAAGCCACTGTCCTGCCCTCACTCCAACCAACCCTCTTCTTTCAAGGTGCCCACAACAAGGGAGGCTATAATCAGCCCTCCACACGCCCCTGGATCCCCCATGTGTCACAGCATTGCCAACCACGCATGGGTGAGGCCTCAGGGAAACATGAGATTGTCTTATGCGCCGTGAGGTGAAAAGAGCTGCCCTTTGGGGCGCTGTTATCTGCCTGCTGCTGGGGCAGAAGGGGTTGAGTTTGTCAAGCTTCTCTCTGAAACCACCTGGGCTGAAAATGTTTCCATTGTCAATGAAAGACGCGATTTTCAGGTCACAATCCGATTCCAGCAGTTGGGCCTGTCCCAGAAAAGACGGTTCTATTGAGCCTTGTGATACCACGTTACAAGCTGGCAGCGCTGGTTCCTGCCTGCTCAGGGGCTGCCCTCTCTGCTTTCCTAGGGCAAGGGCTGGCTTCCTTTGTGCCCTGTGCAGAGCACACCACGGTGTTGGCACCGATTGAATTAAGAAGGGAGTAACAATGGCCCTACAGTTCTCTCACACTTCCCCAGCCACTGTATGTGCCCTGTGCCCAGGAGTGATGGGATAGTCCGGTCTGGGGCTTGGGGTGGGGATGTGTGTCAGCCTGAGCTCAGAGTTTCCATTGGGATCACCCTGTTAGTGCATTTAGGGAAGGGGGTCTATGAAAGGATCGTCTGGGCGAGGTTCTGCAAGGTGCAGAAGGGTCTAAATGATTAGTCACTAAAGCCCTCTCTCCATGGGCCAAACAAGGCACTTTGTGCTTTTGCAATTGAGTTAGCTCAATTGGGTTAGCCTGGCGCCAATAAAATCTCCCTTAACACCCCTATTGACAGAGCGTCACCCTTTTTGTTTGCTTCTAGCAACTGACTTGATTAGATTCTGATCTCACACTGGTGTAAATTAGGAGTAATGCCACTTAGGCATGGTCTAGGTTAAAAGTTAGGTTGGCATAGCTGCAATGCTCCAGGTGGTGGAAAAATTCTCATACCTGAGCACTGTGCTGCACAGACCTAACCTCCATGTAGACATGGTTTGGGCATGAACGGCCTGGAGAAAGTGAACAGGAAAGTGTTCTTTACCCCTTCGCATTGCACAAGAACTAGGAGTCCTGCAATGAAACTAACAAGCAGCAGGTTGAAAACAAACATAAGAAAGTGCTACTTCACACATTGTAAAGTCAAACTGTGGAACTCCTTGCTGTGGGATGTTGTGATGGCCAAAAATATAACTGGGTTCAAAAAATAATTAGCTAAGTTCATGGAAGATAAGTCTATTGATGAGTCTTAGCCAAGCTAGTCAGGGGCACAACCCCATGCTACAGGTGTCTGCGGCAGATCCAGGTTGGGCTGGAGCAACTCCTGTCTGTGGTGGGGGAGCCACTGCAGCCCAGCGGTGGGCAGGGAGGCCACTCCAGCCCTCCTTTTAACCAGTTAACGAGGGTTTTACATCCCTATTTGACACTGTATGGGCAGGAAGGGACAAGATGCCTGTAGCTATAGAAGAGCGGGGAGACGGGGTTGGGAGGGAAGAGAGAACTTTCTGGAAAAACATGGGCCAGGCCATCTCTTCCCCACTCTTACCCACACTCCGCGGGAAGCGGCTCCCCTCCCTTCCCTCCTGCACAGCGCCCAAAGGCTGCTGCGTGCCACATTCTGGTGTGGACCCTGGCAGAAACTGGGGAGGAGGAGAAAGCACAGAATCCTAGGACTGGAAGGAGCTCGAGAGTCATCGAGTCCAGCTCCCTGCCCTCATGGCAGGACCAGACACCATCTAGAGCATCCCTGACAGGTGTCTGCCTCACCTGCCCTTAAAAATCTCCAGTGACGGAGATTCCACAACCTCCCCAGGCAATTTATTCCAGTGTTTCACCCCCCTGACAGGAAGTTTTTCCTAATGTCCAACCTCAACCTCCCTTTGCTTCTTATCCTGTCATCAGAAGTCAGGAGAATCATTTTTCTCCTTCTCCCTTTTAGATACTTCAAAACTGCTGTCATGTCCCATCTCAGTCTTCTCTTTTCCAGACTAAACAAACCCAGGTCTTTGTGTTTCATCTGAAGAAGTGGGCTGTGCCCACGAAAGCTCACGACACCATCTACATGTTTTGTTGTCTCTAAGGTGCTGCTGGACTATTTGTTGTTTTTAAAGTTTTTCCTTTTCTTTCAGTCTTCCCTCATAGGTCAGGTTTGTTAGGTCTTTAATAATTTGTGTTGCTCTTCTCTGGAATTTCTCCACCTCTTTCCTGAAGTGTGATGCCCAATACTGGACACAATACTCTAGCTGAGGCCTAATCAGTGGAGAGTACACAGGACGAATGATTTCTCATGTCTTACTCACAACGCTCCTGTTCATACATTCTAGAAGGATGTTTTCTTTGTTTGCAGTAATGTCAGTCACACTGTTGACTCATATTTAGTTTGTGGTCCACTCGATCGTTTTCTGCAGAAATCCTGCTAGACAGTCACTTCCTATTTTGTGTGTGTGAAGATAATTGTTTGTTCCTGAGTGAAGAATTTTGCATTTGTCCTTATTGAATTTCATCCTATTTCCCTCAGTTGTCCATTTCTCCAGTTTGTCCAGAGTGTTTTGAATTTTAATCCTCCAAAGCACTTGCAACTCCTCCCTCCCAGCTTGGTATCATTTGCAAACTTTATAAGTGTACCCTCTATGCCATTATCTAAATCATTGATGAAGATACTGAACAGAACCGGTCCCAGAACCGATCCCTGCAGAACCCGACTTGTTCTGCCCTTCCAGCGTGACTGTGAAGCATGGATAACTACTCACTGAGAACGGTTATCCAGCCAGTTATGCACCCACCTTGTAGTAGCCCCATCTAGGATATTCCTAGGTTGTTAATGAGAAGGTCATGTAAGACAGAATCGCTGTATCACATTGCCTCCCCTCCATCCACAAGGCTTGTTAACCTGTCAAAGAAACTTGTCTGTTTGGTTTGACTTGATTTGTTCTTGACAACTCCACGCTGGCTGTTACTTCTCACTTTAGTATCTTCTAGAGCAGTGGTCCCCAACGTGGTGCCTGCTGGCGCCATGGAGCCCGTCGGGGCATTTATGTGCACCCACCTAGCGCTGCCCCCGGGAACCAATGCATGCGCAGCCCCGCCCTAGGCACCTGGCAGTCCTGCGTGGCGTCCGCCACCCAAAAAAGTTGGGGACCACTGTTTTAGAGGTTTGCAAATTGATTACTTCATTATTTACTCCCCATTATTTTTCCTGGCACAGAAGTTAAGCTGACTGGTCTGTGTTTCCTGGGCTGTCTTTATTTCCCTTTTTATAGGTGGGGACTAGTTTGGCCCTTTTCCAGTCTTCTGGAATCTCTCTTGTCTTTCATGACTTTTCAAAGACAATTGCTAATCACTCAGGGTATGTCTACACTACCCCCCTAATTCGAACTAGGAGGGTAATGTAGGCATACCGCACTTGCAAATGAAGCCTGGGATTTGAATTTCCCGGGCTTCATTTGCATGAAGCCGGCCGGCGCCATTTTTAAATGCCGGCAGTTCGAACCCCGTGCTGCGCGGCTACACGCAGCACGGAGTAGCTAGTTCGGATTAGGCTTCCTAATCCGAACTAGCTGTACTTCCTAGTTCGAATTAGGAGGGTAGTGTAGACATACCCTCTGATATCTCCTCAGTGATCCTCTGTGTCCCTGCCTATGTATTGCCTCAGGAAGACACAGCACCAGGTACCAGGAAAAATGGGGGTCATCTTGGGGGCCCAGTGAGGCGTGGAGCGTGGACAGCACTGGGCAGGGGGGGTCTGATCAGTCAATTCCCCCCCTTCTATGTGAGAGAGGTATACAAGAGTGTGTGTTGCATGTGTGTGGTAGCGTAGTGGTATTAACGCTCAAGCCTTATAGATAAGAAGGTAAATGAAAGGAATCCAACTACACATTATTCCTTTTTAATATCTGTCAGCATTGGGACTGCATAGTTCTCTCTGATCGCTATTGAGCTCTCTTGAATATGAGTCATTTTACCAGGTGTCCCGTATTCAGCATGGGGAAAAATGGTCACCCTGCCCACGGAGAACCATGCCCACGCCCTGCTCCAGGACAGAGTGAAACAACTCCACCCACAAGCTCTCCTTGTGCAGTGTTTGTGCACCAGCTGATTCAATCTGTGAAGCACTTTGGGCTCCTTCCGGTTCTAGACATGCAAAATCAGCATCAACAATTAAATCTGCCCCTTGTGTCTCTTGGTGTAATCAATCATCAGGAGCGGATGGGGCAGCTGCCAGCCCACATTGAGTGAACAGGGCTTCTGATTTTGGGTTTTAACTGATGAACTTTGCTAAAGCTCTCCTGCCACACACAGAGAAATTGGTGTTTATTCAAAAGCATGGCAATGGTGGCTTGTGTCTAGGGGCTCTTCCACCCACTAGGGCAGTGTGCGCTTCACAGGCATGCTTTCTAAAGATCGCCACTGGTCCACCGCAGCTAGTGCATGCAGACTCGGCCAGGGCCCACCAATGCTTTGAGGCTGTGCTTTCTCCTAGACAGCGCATTGGTTTTATTTCCATCCCATTTCTCCTCCAGCACTCTGGCCTGTGGCTGCTGTGGAAGTGCACACGTCCAGGGAAGTGGAGGCGGTGAATGGGACCAACGTACGCTTAAAATGCACCTTTTCCAGCTCCAGCCCTGTGGGCCAGCGACTGACGGTGACCTGGAACTTCCGGCCCCAGGGACTGAACTCTGCTGAGTCTGTAAGTGGGCCCTTCCTGCTCCAATGGAGCGATGCACAGTGCTGCTATGCAAGCATCGAGCCTGCTGGAAGGGGAGGTGTGACTGTGGGTGGGGACCACACAATGGCTGCGGTATGGCGGGCAGTTGGCTCTGACTTGAAGGATTCGGTTGACTGCTCCTCTCTGCAATGAGTTCTGGTTTCAGGTCGTATCTTTGCTGGCCACTCAACCTGGTGAGGGAAAGTGTTTCTAGTGCACTCCAGCTTGTGTGGTTAAATGCCGGGGTCAAGGGCAGCTGCACCTGCTTGTGTCAAGGCTGAATTTGGTTCCTTGTCCCTGCTGAAGCCACAGCTCCGGCTTGTGACTTCCTCCCACTGGGAGGGACAGCACGCCGGCAGGGGCCATGCTTATCCTGTCGCATGGCTCCAAGCAGGGAGCACAGCTGCAGCGCTGGCGTAAGGAGGGGGCCAGTCTGAACATTGGGTGCTCCAGGTGGTCTCTGAGCTCTGCTGCCAGAGGCTGATGCAGCACAAGTCTTGTCTGCTCTAGCCAGGCCTCGTCTCCAGCCCGGGCTACCGGGGACCCTGCTGGCTCCCCACAGGCCCCTGGTGGATGTGAAGTTACAGCTGCTCTCAGAGGTGAGACAATGAGGCCAGAAGCCCGACAGCCACTGGGAGGGAGACAACCACGGGGATGAGTCCTCTTCGTCCTATCCCTCTGTGCTTGGCTGTGGCTCCTTTGCACGGCTGCTTTCCACCCAGGCTGCCTCTCTCGCCTCTGGCCCCCAGCCTGAAGTGGAGACACTGATCTCGGTACTGCCTGCTTTCTCAGTGCTTTGAGCATTGTGCCCCGGTTCCAGACAGACAGGTGCCTGCCCTGCAGGGGCGGGGGCCGCCACACACTGGGCAGGGGTGACGAAGCTTCCTCTCTGACCACCTAGGTGTTCTACTACTACGAGGAGCCCTACCCCCCCACCAACGGGCGATTTAAAGAACGAGTTACGTGGGATGGGAACATTGGCCGGAACGACGTCTCCATCATCGTCTGGAACCTGAATCCCAGCGACAACGGGACCTTCACTTGCCAGGTGAAGAACCCACCAGATGTTGATGGCACAATCGGCGAAATCCAGCTCCGGGTTGTGCAGCAAGGTAGGTGGCTGGGGCACTGTCGTGATCGATGCGAAGTTCACTGGCCCAGGGAAGTGGCACCAGCGGACGATCCCCTGCCACGTCTGGGGGAAAGGCATGGCAAAGGGGCTGTAGGAGGCAAGTGAATGACTGCAATAAGGAATGTGGGTGAGGAAGGACTGACGTTGCTAGATCTCCTCCCAACAAAGCCCCCATTTCTCTTTGCCCCATTTCTCTTCGGTGCAGTGCACTTCTCAGAAATCCACATCCTCCTTCTGGCCATCGGCTCTGCCTGTGCGCTGATGATCATTGTGGTGACTGTGGTAGCGGTCTGTCGGCACTATCGGAACAGACGGCAGGAGAAGAGCACTGAGACGGTGGAAACAGAACTGTAAGCACGGGGCTTCTGGGAAACCGGAGGGTATCTTCTCCAGGGAGTCTGGCTAGTGCCTAGCAAGCAGCTGCCAAGTGTGTAAAACCCACCAGCACCTGGCAATAATTGGCTTCTTGCAGGGCAGACACACCAAGGAGCTCACAGAGTGAACCAGCCTCTCTTCTTACCCCAGGGGGTCCATGAAGTCAGGGTAGAAACCAGCTATGGGGAGGTCTCTGTGTGGGGGAAGCTTGCTGTGCCTGTTCTAAGGACAAGCGCAGCACCAGGGTGCAGTGGCTGATGCAGCGGATACATTCTGTGTGACTGGGAAAAACACTAGCTGCTGTTTGTTAAACCAAGAGGTGCATCATCTAGTCGTTACTTTTGGGCCAAGTGTAACTACAGCTCTGAATGAATGTAACTAGCTTCTTCTCTAGAAGGGAGCAGGAAAGATTTACAGCCACTTGCAACAGAGCAGCTACCGGCTGGAGGGAAGGGCTGGTAGCAGAACACTAGAAGAAGGAGCTGCTGGCCACAGCCTTTGTAGAGCCTTGAAAATCTGCGGCTATCCACTTTATATCAGTGGGCATCTGCATCTGCAGATGTGGGTGCAGATATCCACGGATTATTTTTGCAGATGGCAATACAAAAGTTTTCTCCATGCAGTGCTGTTAGCATTGGCTTGTCTTTTGATTGGCCAGACACGGGGTAGTTAAACGGATTCCAGGTGGGTGGCGTGTTGGGGTTTCGTGAGCAGTTTGCAGGGGACCACACTGAAGCCTGAATGCACAAGTGTTACAGGCAGTGGGACAAGAAGACTTGATCACAACAAGCCAGTGCCCAAAAGTTCAGACAGTGAAAATGGGGCAGTGATTGGAACCGTGTCTAACCAGCTGTGATTGAGTGACGCTAATTTGCAGGAACCTAGAGCTACACTGCAGCCTAAACACATGTAACCAACTAATTTAATGAACTTTCCATGTCTCCTAGTTAGAGTTACTGTACACTGGGCACACCCTGGCCGCCTAGGCAGGTGGTGCAGCTGGGGAAATGTGTTGGGAACAGTAGATCAGTGCTGTTCTGGGTCTCCAGAGATGATTGACTTGATCCCCACTATTCACCTACATCCCTCCAGATCTTCGGATGGGTCACATAATGCTGTGACCGGTGTTTGCTTTTCCTGCCAAAGGCAGGCCGGTGTTTATCGCTGTGTGACTGGGTGAAGGGGGCTGCAGTGCAGGGATATCTCTGGGGAACAGGTCACAGCCAATTCAAATCCGAATATTAGATCCTCCCTTCCCCCCAGTGCCCACAAACCTTATGTACACCTCCCACTTAACAGGCTTATTGCCAGGAAGCAAAGTTCTCATGATACCCCTTGCCACTTCCTCCACATAAAACCTCCCCCTACAAATCCGTATTTTTCTGTGCTTCAGGTAAAACAGCCTGGGCAGTGGGGCTCTTGCTGTCGCTTATTGTATAAATGACACTGCTACTTTCACTAACATTCAGTTAATTGTTTCTCCCCCAAAATGTAAAAACCCTAAAGATTCTCTGTTTAAAAAAAAGCAAAAGCAAAACAACCCCAAATTTCAGGTTTTTCTGTGGCAAACTGATTTCTAGGATCCCTGCTTATTTCCTCCTTGTGACTCAGACCCGGGGGCTGCTGGGCAGGGGGCCTGACGGCTGCTTTTGGTTTCATTTCTAGAACAGAAAAGGAGACGCTGAAGAGTACAGAAGAGAAGGCATCTGTCCCATTAGAAGACTAAGGTTCTCTCACTAAAGGGTACATACGCTTTCCAACAGCTTTCTGGCCTGCTGAAGGTTTTGAAGTAGGGCTGCCACATGGTTTCAACAAAAATACTGGACACCCTTGACATTACATCACACTCTACATTACATCTGATTGAGAAAATACCTGACATTTCTATTTTCTCAATTTGTTTTCCGAACAGAAAGCTCAAATACTGGACTATCCGGTTCAAAACTGGACACCTGGCAACCCTATTTTGAAGAGGGATTTTTACATGGTGGGGCCACGACCTGTGTGAAATGAATGGGCAGGTCTCAGGACAGTTCCTAGTGGACAGGTCATGGTACTCATATTAAAAAACTGCGACTACCATAGTCACAGTTAGTACCGACTGGCTTTCTCCTTGGCAGCCTCAGTAGGCAGAACAAGGACTGAATGGGACATGGAGACAGAACTTTCTTCTCAGCTTATGGGAGGTTTCCCTGGTTGGGGCTGATGTTAATTGGTAGGGATGCTTGAACAGTTGCTACCCATTATGTAGCAGCTTTGTGGATAAATAAGAGTGCCATTTTCATCTCCACTTTTAGATTCACTTTGCATTCCTCCTTTTGAAGGCCATTACAGGAAGAAGATTTCTGAGGCTAATAACAGGCTCTGCTGATGCATTTATATATCATTTTACTTTCCTACCTTTTGATATCATCAGTTGTCTTCATTTCTTAAGTCCCAAGAATGGTGTAGTAATATGTCGTCTTATTTTCCTTCCTGTAGCTTCTCCCCTGCAAAAGTGTCAGAAGCAGGTGGTTAAGCCTTCTGATTTGAAAACAAGCTGAATCACAGGTGTCTGATACCACAACTGTGGTATCCCCATTCATTTTTGTCACAGCAAAATGGTGGGATTAAAATAAAGCATGAGCTCTCATTTCCTTCCATTGAAGCAACGCAGGGGAAACTTGTTCTATCAACAGTGAAGTTGTCTTTGGTCTTCACTGACAACTTCAAGAGAACTATAAGAAATTCAAAGGTATCTGAACAGATGTTTCAAAATTCTCATCTTGGCATGTGGAAGAATTTTGGAAAAAATGCCTTTAAATTTTTTTAACTTTTTTTACCGTTTTCCTCTCCTTCCCCACAAAAAACTCTCCCAATATTTGTGGGAAAGAAAATGGGAAAAAGAATAAGTCACTCTGAATGAAAATAGGACAATCGTAGAATCCTAGAACACTAGAACTGGAAGGGACCTTGAAAGGTCATCGAGTCCAGTCCCCTGCCCTCACGGCAGGACCAAGCACCGCCTAGATCATCCCTGACAGGTGTCTGTCTACAATGGTTAACTCATTCCCATTGCAAACAGTCTGTAATTGCTGGCTGCTTATTAGTTCTTGCTTTAATCCTCAAATTGGGTTTGTACTTTGTTTCCTCTTTCAAAGCTCTTTAAATGTTTCTAAAATGAAGACTGATGAGATAGTTTGATCACAGGGAGAGCTTATTGCAAAAACAGGATTTTGAGCCCCTTGTTACTCAAAGTGGAAAGTGTTACAGGTTTGACCATGTGCCATTTCTTTTGCCAGAATGATATTTAGAAGTAGGTGCATTTTTCAGCTTGACTTTTGTTTGGCATTTTAGGTGACTCAGTGTGTGAAAGTAACAGGCTGGGAACCCTGCCTGTTGCCAGCTGCAACGTGAGCAAGTTCTGTGGTGGTCTCTGCCCATTTCTATTTTACTGATGCACCAAAATCCCCACTTTCTTTTGCTGGTCCAGACCTGGTTCCCCCCACTCACTCCTGATTCACCTCAGTTCTACCCTCCAGCACCTTGTGCTGCTTGCCAGCAGCTATGTACCATTTGCAGATGCCCCTCAACTATGGCATGCAGCAGCCAATTCTGTTCCAACCTAGAGATTCTCCTAAGTAAACACTAACCAGTTGCCCTAATCACAGTAAAGTTTTATTTCTTATCAAAGTTCAGTGGTTCCATGGTATCAAGATTCTGGGAGGTCCAGATACCTCTCAGGAATGCAAGCAGCTCTCTTAGATATGCAAATTGATGCAAAAGGAAATTTGTCTCAATGCTAGTTACTGCTCCCGGTTAGCACTAGCATATCTTAGTGCTAAATATGTGGTGAGCACATCAGATTCAGTCCTGCTGCAAACCTCAGTTTAAAACAAGTAATCAAGATCTCAGAGTGCTTCTGTATTTAAGTGGCATGAAATCAAAATACAAGCTTGTTTGTTAGAAAGTATTTTTGCTTTTATGGCCCTGCCTGTGAAGTACTTGCTGTGTTATCTCTGTTAGTTTGTTTTCTTTTCCTATTATGGAGGGTCATAAATAAATTTGCTTTGTGGGCAGAGTCAGAAGCTCTGACAGTATAGTTAGCACAATGTAAGTCTAGAGAAACTCTCTATGATACTACAAACCTTCCTATCCTTAACGTAGAGTTGGTCTGGGTTTTTGATACAGTGGAATAGATGCCCCTATGTCATGACAAGGAAAGGCTGTTTATATAAAAGAGAAATTTTAACACACAATCCTAAATTCATGACCAATATGGTTTTGTTGCAATATAAGAATGTTTGTATACAGCACAATGATGTTATGTTGTGGCATGGGCATGCATGTGAAAGCAATAACCAATGCAGAAATTAATTGTCTTCCTGCTGTACCTACATCTGTCCTCTCAGATCTGCGCCTTTTCAGGTGCAGACACCCCCCTGTCCATACTGAACAGCTCTCACTTTGGTATGGGGATCAGTATACAAGTAAAGCAGGATTACAAGAAGGAACATTCCAAATAATGGGGCTAAAAGGTTCCAGTCCTGTTCTCATTGAAATAAATGGCAAAGCTCCCATCAACTTCAATGAAAGGAGGATCGGAGCAGTGAGTTGGAAAAGGAAGATATTGTACTGTATCCAGTCTCACTTGTTGAGATACAAGATACTAATATAGATAAATCCAGATTATCCAAACTCTCCACATTTCATTTGACTCCAAATCTGTTTGGGTCCTCCAAGTCCCAAAACCTACAGAGGGTCTAATGTAAGGCTCTCTCATGGAATTTGTCATGTTACTGTTTTGGCTCTTCAAATGAACTGACTGCAGATTAAATTCAACTATCAGATGCTGCTGTGCTGTGAGACCCACATCCTGAAGGTTAACATAATAACACAACTTTTGTATTCATCTACCTATTTTTAGTAGCAGTTTTTAGAGCAATATTACCCTCATTCTGTGTTTTGTAGTTTCTCTACTTCTCTTCTGCAAACATAATTATCTAATTCTACTTGTCAATTTCAAGGCCCTGATTCTATCAGCTGTTATGCTTGGGCAGACCTTTCAATAGTGAAGAGACCCATTAACTTCATTAGGGGTCTGGATGGGTGCAGAGCTCTGCTCACATGCAACAACTTGTGGGATCAAAGTGCAAGGGCAGTATCTAGAATTGATGTGCATTTTTATGAGTCAAACTGCTAAGTTAGAGACAAGTTTCAGATTTTCATTTTTTGCTGCAAAACTTATGTTTCAACAGAGACAGAAACTATAGTAAGTAAGGGGCTGTGTCCCATCTCTGCTGACAGATACTCTTTTGTAATGTAATTTATTTAAAATGAGCTTTTCAAGTCATTGTATATAAATAAACCATTTTTAGTATTAAAGCATGTCCTTCTTGTGTCTTTTTAATTGAAAAAACTGCACAAGTTCATTATGGTAAGAAAATAATGAATGCCATAGGACATAATGAAGACAACAGGTGAGTGAGAGTGACAGCATCTTTTATTGGACCAGCTGCCATTAATGAGAGAGATAAGAATCCAATAAAAGATATAACTTCACCCACCTTCTGGTGTCCCTGGCCTCTGTTTGTCAGAGGCTGGAGAAGGATGGCAGGAGAGAAATTGCTTGATCATTGTGTTGCCGGCACAGTTGTCTTTGGTCCATCCCATCTGGGGCATCTGATGTTGGCCACTGTCAGCAGACAGGCTACTGGGCTAGATGGACCTTTGGTCTGACCCAGTATGGCCATTCTTATGTTCTGTCTCTAATGTCCTGGCACCAATGTGCTACAAATACGCTGCTTAGTGTATATGTTTAGTATGAACTTTCCACAATGCCAGAAGAAAGTATTTTTTACAAGACCCTACCATAAATAGAATTTAAAATGAATTATTTTATTTGGGAGGCTGGGCCAATTAAGTGTGCAGAGCACTGTGATGCAGAAGTCCTTGGGTGGCAGAAATGCATTCATCTCTTTCGGAAGAGAGCGCTTTGATCAAAATAAGACCTTTCTTATGTGGTGATTTTGAGAGGCACTTGGGTACAAGTACCAGACTGGGCTGTTCCTGTAATTTTCCAGAGCTCCACTGAAAGTTGATGGCCCAGGGTCTTTGAACATCTCTCAACTACTTCCTGTATCTGTTCTCATATGCTGCCTTGCATGATGCCTCCTATATCAGGAGGAGCTTCTTATCCACTAAGTAAGTAACCTTCTTCCTCAGATCCTGTTGTATAATGAATGTCTATCCGGGCCAGCGTGAACTCGTTAGGTCTTTTTGCAACTGAGGGGCAGAAAAAGGCACAAATTGAGACTCTTTATAACAGGATAGTTCTGAAAGAAGAGGGGACATGAGGCACGAGGTTAGAAAGCTACTGACCCACAAATACTTATGTTGCTGGCAACACTTACAAATAAATTGAACTCCCAACGGAAGGTGGTGTAGGTCTAGGGCACACAGGTCTTCAAAATAGTAGTGTAATACAGAGGCTAGTTAAGTGATTATCAATACGCGTAGCATCTATCTACCTACATTGCTTAATCTCAGAAGCCATCTAGTACTGTTTTAATTGGCAAGAGGGGAAGATAGGTGCTACAGACACAACATTTCTCCTTATCTTCCCTTTCTACTCATATGCCCTGCCTCCTGGCAACTCTTCCACTAGAATCCATCCATCAAGCTCCAAATGTCTGCCAAGACTAGGCTACTTGAGAGGGATACCTGAGCACACCTATTGTGCTATCAGGCTGTGTCTAGACTGGCAAGTTTTTCTCCAAAAGCAGCTGCTTTTGCGGAAAAACTTGCCAGTTGTCTACACTTCCTACTGTCTGAAATCAGTGCTTCTTGCGGAAATACTACGCTGCTCCCGTTCGGGCAAAAGTCCTTTTGCGGAAAAGCGTCTGTGCCAATCTAGACGCTCTTTTCCGCAAATGCTTTTAACGGAAAACTTTTCTGTTAAAAGCATTTGCGGAAAATCCTGCCAGTCTAGACGTAGCCTCAGTGTCTGCCATCTCTTGGAAATAAGCACATCCAGAGTCTTCGTTAAGACATCCTTGACTGCCGCTCATCTCACTGTATCCATTTCAATCCGACCTTCCTTCTTTCCCTGCTTCCGTCGGCATGCAAGTGTCCCTTGCCGGCGAGGGCCCAGGCCAACGTGCCACGGTCACTGCCGGCTGCACCCCAGCGCCGTTCTGCGGGGACGGGCGGTTGCTGCCGCGCACCCTGGGCGTGTGGAATCGGCGGGGCAGGCCCATGAGCCCAGGGATCCGGGTGGGTGCGGGCGCTTTGGGTGAAAGGGGCGGGACTGCAGCCCCCCAGGCCCGTGGGGGCGTTGAGGCCACAGGCTGCCGGGGGGGGGGGGGGGCGGG